TAAAGTCTTGGCTAATGTTGCTGTTTCAAATTTTCTCAATTTTTTTTTTTAATTTCACAGTAATTTATACACATGGATCTGTTTCTCTTCTTTTCAATGGCTATGCTTTTTACAATCTAGAGTTACGTCATGTCTCCTTTACCAATACCCTCTCTCCTCCATAGCTRAGTGCTATGCCATTATTGATGCCTTAAATTTTATCTAAAATTTGGCACTCAACAATTATTTAATTGCCCTAGATTCCATGTTATGCCTTTAAATCTTAACTTCCAATCAATTTAACTCTCATTTAATTTGAAAGGTTGCATATAATTTTAGACCTATATTTTATATGAACGTGTTAAAAATCTTATAACAACTCGATTACCTAGATTTTTATGTATCAAAATAGTTAGAAAAATATTCTGTATTGAAATATGAAATTAAAACTGTTGTCATTTAAAAAAATTTAAAAATATTAAGGATAAAAAATACATTTTTAAGATAAGAAACAAAGTAATCTTTTTTCAAATGTATGTTTTATACTTTTTTAAATAATATGTGTTCAATGGAAAAGAAACACTCAATAATCAAACCATGCATAAAGGGTATAAACATTCTTAAAAAATAAAGAAGTCTTAATAACTYAGAAGTTTAAAGCTAAACAAAACAAATAATATATGATATAAACATTGAATTTAAAAAGAATGGCTATCTTCCTGTATGCGCTCTACCCCAGATTGCGGTCTACCTGCGATTATTGGACGATTGTTGTATGCGCTCTACTATAAAATTTATATCTYTATTGTCGTGACTTAAAATTAATGGTAATAAAGATTAGAACTCTCTTTTTCTACATCATATCATATTTTTTGATAGTATAATATTAGTCGTTGGGTGACAATACTTGAGTTCATACACGGTTTTATACTTTCATATAATAATAAAAATACAAAGGTAAATATAAATATAATAATAATTACAGGTATCTCATTGAAACGTGGTGGAGAGGAATTAATAAAAGTGACACATTTAACGCTTTTCTGAGGGTCATGGCACAAGTATTTTAATATTTATTTAAAATATTTTTTTTTTTTTTATTTAATTTTATATTTATTATTTATAATTATTATTGAAACAAATAACGAGACGGCGACAAAACGATGATGTGCGTTGATATTATAATATAATCATTTTTATTACTTTATTCATAACAATTTTTGTTCGTTATTAAAACCACTTTATATCATCCCACTTATTACTTGAATATATTGTCTATAAATGAAATATAGTTGTAGGGTGGAAAAACACGGTAGAGCGCATTCTGCAGTCGCAATGCTGCCGGTAGAGCGCATACAGGAAGATAGCCATAATATAATATAAAATTKTTATTTACTTTTGGTCCACCTTTGGGTTGGTCAAATTCACTTATTATTTTGTTTCTTTGTGGAACGGGAACAGCTCCACTGAATATCTCAGTTTTAACACCATATTGAGATAATTGTTTGTTAACAAGGTTTAACACACTTGGCCATTGAGACACAATTACAGCCTTATCATCAGTATGCAATACTTTTTCATTCACCATATCGCAGACAGCTTTAATCTAAAATGAATAAACCATAGTAAAATAAAATATAAAGGCTGATCTGAAATTTGTATTAAAAATTGGAAAAATGTTATGGAATYACTGTCAATCGTTTTAGTCCAAGAAACAAAACAATATTTTAAAGCATAATCGTTTTCATACCTTTGAACTAATCCATTTTTCATTAAAAATTACATTATTGCTTTTAACAGTATCGTTTTCAATATTTGGAATTCCAATAGACATTCGACTCAATTTGTCTACAATATCCAAATCTTTATTATCTTGTATGCCATCAGTCTTTAGACATTCATCTTCCAACATCTATAATAATATTAATATATTTTGTTTCATAAATAAATTATCTAATAATCAAATAATAATAATAAYAATACACATACATTTTTCAATAAACAAGGATGACAACATAGTTGTCTAAGTCGTAATATTAAAACTAAGATATGATGAGTTTGAATGTTTTTGTTATTCACTAATTGTTTGAATAATTTGTCCAGTTCAGGATGATCTTTAAAAATATTGTCACTATTTTCTAAAAAATATTTAAAAAATAGTATCAATTTATTAATATTAAATGATAAACTTCTTTTCAGTGTAGCTTACGACTTAAATATTTAGCCTTGTGTTTAACTGGAAAACCACGATCAATAGCATTTTCTTTGTCAGCTTTTTCATAGAGATATGTTGCAAACAGTGAACTAAGACATCAAATAAAATAAGTTTAAATGAAATATACTTGAAAGGAGACTAACAAACCTCGAGAAATGCAACACTTTTTCATATGCTTCTTTTTCTTCTTTAAATAATTCGACTTTGATGGTATGAAATGTTTTATGGGGTAAATTGAATTTTGTAGTTTTTTGTAACTGATCTTTTGTTCGTCTCAACATTAGTGCTTTAGTTAATAAAGAAAGTCTGTTTTTACCTGCATCATCATTATTACCTACCCAACGTTTCCAAACCTATATAAAATTAATAATATAAAAAGATTCTGAGTAACAGGACATTTAGTACAGAATTAATCTGAATGCATTTTTATTAAAACATTAAGTTACTGGAGAAAATTGTTTGTTGATTATAA